ATGAATTTGATGCTGTGGACATGAATAATCACGATGCTGAAATTGGAAAAGATGACGTGCCGGACTTTGAGAGCCACAATCCTCCTATACCTATTGTTGGCAGTAACATTCCATATTTTTCTCAATCATCATGTGTGAATAATGTTCGAGATGATGAAACCGGTTTTTTTAAGGGAATGACATTCAAGAACAAGGAAGAACTGGCAAATTCATTGAAAATTGCTTGCTTGAAAAAGATTTTAGACTGAAAAAGGTGATCAATTCTCGTAATGTGTTTTCTTTTAAATGTTCATATCCGGAGTGCAATTGGTGGCTGAGGGCTGTGAAATTTACAAGTAGCGACAGGTTTGTCATTAAAATCTATGAAAAGTACCATACGTGTGGTTCAGAGCATCTTAAAAGCCATAATCCCTATGTCACTGCAAAAGTCATAGGTAAGTACTTTGAAAATAGGTTTCCCAATGGTAAAGACCCATCCACAAGAGACATGTAAAATCAACTCCCCATAGAATTAAGTTGTAAGGTAAGCTATTGGAAGATTTATAAGGGCATGGAGCATGCTAAGTCTAATGTTAGGGGAACACATGAGCACGGCTATGCAGTGCTCAATGCGTACTGTTATATGCTTGAAGTTGCAAATCCAGAAAGCAAGACGACATTGTTGCTCGATGAAAATGGGAGGTTCAAGTACTTCTTTGTATCATATGCCGCTTGGATAACTGGTTTTAAAGAAATGAGAAAAGTAATAGCCATTGATGGGACATCCCTGAGGAGCAAGTATGAAGGAGTTTTGCTATCGGCGGTGGCACAAGATGCTGAGAATCATATATTTCCAGTGGCTTTCTGTGTTGTGGACAGGGAATGCGATGCCTCATATGAATATATTTTTCAAAATATGAGAAGCTTTGTAGATGATATTGATGAGTTGTGCATTATTTCAGATAGGCATCCAAGTATTCGAAGATGGTTTCGACTATCTACCCTGCATCTCATTATGGTTGTTGCATGAGATACCTTGGGGAAAATATTCTAAATAACTTTCACAATTCAAAGGTAGTGACCCATTTTTATAAAGCAGTAAAGGCGTACGATAGATGTGAGTTCAATGACCATTTCAATCAAATAAGAGATTTGGTACCAAAGGCGGCTGAAACTCTTGAACGTATTGGATTCTACACATGGAGCAGAGCATTTTACCCGGGAAATAGGTACATTATTGTCTATACCATCTCGTTTGATTTTATTGTAATTTTATGTGTTTTGATTGATTTTTATTTTTTGTTGTATAGATATAACATTATAACGTCAAACATCGCGGAGTCGGTGAATTCTATGTTTGATGTTGAAAGAGAATTTCCCATTGTCGCTCTATTTGATGAAATAAACAGGAGATTTGCACTTTTATTTCACCAGAGGCGTATGGAGCTGGTGAACTCTGCAAATAGATTTGTTCCTTCAATTGAAAAAGACATATCAAAGTAAGTCAACGCGGGGAACAAGTTGTTGGCTCATCAAATCACTAACTATAAGTTCAGTGTCACTGGTAATGGTGATGTTGCTACGGTGGATCTACAAAGAAGAACTTGTACTTGTAGAATTTTTGAATTGGACAAAATACCTTGTCCACATGCCATGGTAGCGCTTCGAGCCCAATATGGTGCCGATTTTGGAAATCAGCTTTATAAGTACTCCTCTCCATATTATTCAGTGAAAAAATACATAATGACATATTGTGAGGAAATTCACCCGGTGCCACCTGAAGATTCTTGGATTGTCCCTTTGGATGTCATAGAGAGAGAAATACATCCTCCATATGTTGATCAAAGCAAACCTGGAAGAAGGAGATATAAGAGACGGCGTGGAGTTGGTGAATCATTTCCAACAAGAAAAAATAAGTGTTCCGTATGTAGGGACTTTGGCCACAAAAGAACTACATGCCCAAATCGAAATGCTCCATAAGTGTTGTTGAATTTTAATGAATGTTCTTTTTATTTGAGGATGATGTTCCCTATCTTCTTATCTTAATTTGAATCAACTTATGTTATTTATATAAAATGTGTGAATTATTTAATTATGTATTGCTACTTACAACAGAATATTACATATGTTCCAACATATGTTAATTATGTGTTAGATTTTACAACAGAATATTGCATATGTTCCAACATATGTCAATTATGTGTTACATGTACTACAGAATAACGCAATTTGTTCCAACATATATTAATTATGTGTTAGATCTTACGACATAATATTGCATATGCTACAACATATGTCAATTATATGTACAAGTACTACAGAAAACGCATATGTTCCAATATATTTCTAATAAATAATTACGTGTAAGGTGTGTGAACCATCAATCAATAATTATTGTCATTGGAACAACTTTCAAGAAAAAAATTAATTACAACTCTTCATATTTTACCCTTTTATCCAAAAAAATAAGTACTTTCATTTGAAAAGTCAAAAGTTGTGTCTCTTCTCTTCTGTTTGTCTTCAGAAGTTGCAACTTTTCACACATTTCATTTTCCTAGCATTATATAAGAAATCTTGAAAGAATAAGAGATTAAACATTTTATAAAGAACAAATTCAAAAACAGAACGTGCATATGTTGCCACATGAAGATTTAATTAATACAGAAATTTAACTACTTCATCTATTTCTAAATCACACCTACATAATTCACAACGAAAGTGGAGGTTTTGAACAGTGCAACAAATTGGTCTTTCTCCCAACAAATGAGGTTCTGGCACCCATCCATATAAAGTATATAGCAACTTCTCTCGACATCCCGATGCTCTGCACATTTCCAGGAAAGAAGTGCATCTTCGAACAACTGAACATGGCCATATAAGTACAGGAATGCTGAGCAATATTACCTTCTGATATACAGAAGGTTCATTAGCGACTTCATTGAGGACCCTGGAACTGAGAAATCAAATCAAATGGTTAGGAAATCAAATTAAAGAGCGAAAATTGTTTAATACATACATACCTTAATTTAACCCTCATTAAATCTCTGAGGGAGTAGGAAGCAATCCTTTTAACGATAACAATTAGTAGTTCCCTCGGAAGGGATTCAATGTATTTTTTTTACTCATAGTCATTTTTGAAGATTTCTTATTCTTCCTTCCCATCTTAGAGAAATTAAATGAAAGGACCTTCTATTGTTGTGTTCTTCTTATATAATATAATCCCAATGTAATGAATGTGAAAAGTCGCAACTTCTAAAGCCGAAGAGGCACTTCTGACTTTTCAAATGTAAGTACTTAATTTTTTTGAAAAAAGGGTAAAATATGAAGAGTTGTAATTAATGACGGAGGTTGTTATATTAGACCTAATTCAATTGAATTAACCCCAAAAAGCACATTTTAGGATATACACATGTTGCCACATATGACATATTTGTTGAAGTTTAAACTGTTAAATACAATATTTTATACCACAGAACGTACATATGTTTCCACAAATGACATTTCAAGGATGGTCAAAATGAGAATACTATGAAAATAAACAAATATTTTTGGATTAAACATTTTATAAAGAACAAATTCAAAAATAAGTACAAAACACAAAAAGGCAACCTTTTTCACCATGAATTTGGTTTGCAAGTTATGTACATATGTTGCCACAGATGACAAATTAATTAATACCACACAGTGGTATAAGGCAGAAATTTAATTACATAATCTAGTTCTCAATCACAACTACATAAATCACAACGAATATCATCTTCATTGTCGCTTCCCATGGGCCAACTATTCCTGCGTCTAATTTGCTCAAATTGATGAATAGTGCAACAAATGGGTCTTCCTCCCAACAAATGAGGTTCTGGCACCCACATTCCACCTAAAATATTTCGCAAATTATGTCGACATCTTTTGACTTTTAGTGGCTCCGTTTTTTTCATGTTGGTAATGAACATTAAACCTTCTCTCATGGATTCACCGCCATTGAAGATTGAAATTATGGCAAGCACATAGGATGCACCAATGTGGCCACCATCTGCTGCTTGATTAATCATTCCCAATGCAGTTGGATCGTTACGGTTGAAAAGAATCAAACTACAGAAGAAATAACACATTTAAAAGGCAAAATACATTGATAAAAATGTGAATACATACGAAAACATAAAAAATTACCACGCCTTTTCTGTATAAGGCTTCTAAATTCCCCGATGCTCTGCACATTTCCAGGAAAGAAATGGCTTCTTGAACTATCGACCATCTATGATAAGGAATGCTGACCAATGTTACCTTTTGATATACAAAAGGTTCATTAGTGACTTCATTGAGGACCCTGGAACTGAGAAATCAAATCAAATGGTTAGGAAATCAAATTAAAGAGCAAAAATTATTTAATACATACATACCTTAATTTAACCCTTATTAAATCTTTGAGGGAGTAGGAAGCAATCCTTTCAACGATATCAATTAGTAGTTCCCTCGGAAGGGATTCAATGTAGTTTTTTTTACTCATAGTCATTTTTGAAGATATCTTTAAAAAATTGACATTTTTCGATCCCATTCCTAAATTGCTCAATTTATCGATTAACCGATCCTTGAAGTGTCAT